ATTTTTAAAAATTCTTAATTACAAAAATATTTAAACGTTTCTCTAATTTGTACTTTTGATGCTTCATTTTTTGGTTATTAGAGATTATTTATTCATTGAAACATTATGAACAATTATTATAAAAATCGATGGAAATTATTTATGATTTAATTAAACTTTTAATGAATATTTAGTTCAAATGACATCATTGGGTCCGTAAATAACTTCAACACAATCGTTGGTATGAATGAAACCATTGGATAAATGAGCGAATATGACACCCATACTGGGACCCAGACCCTTTTTCTTAGTTATGCCTTCCGGTGGCCGAAACCTAAAATATAAATAAATAAATATTTATTTGTTAAAAGAGCTTGTATGTTTGAATGTTCACTAACTTTTTTAACGCCACCAGTGTTTCCATATTTTTAACAGCGGTTTTCTGGTTGACAGTAGTGGAGGGGCACCGGTCGCACACCAGTAGTCTCATGAAGTTTACGCCATTGATTCGCATCCATTTCCACGTGTCCTCAGCCCAGGTCTGGGGGTAATCGACCAAAACGTTTGGTCTGAAGTTTTCGTGACAGACGTGATCCGCGCCCTCAGAGAACCGGGAATTCAAATGACTGATTGAACTCTCGTTAATCAAATGCAGACCCGATTTGTTTTGGTATATAATTGGGAACTCTTTGTCATCGTTTCGGCGTTTGTCTGAATTGGTGTCTCTGAACTCAAAGCTCTCGTGATGTTGTAGTAGACGTACCCCTGGTTTGCCTAAAAATGTTTCAAACCATTTGTTGCACTCATCGCTACAGACTAGGCCTTTGATCTGTTGGCCATACATTCTGATTGTCATACAAAATAACAATACTGTATAATAATACTGTATAATGTTACAATTAAATATAAATATTTATAATGTACATGTACTTTATTTTAAAATTCATATGAATTATATTTACAAAAATATACTAATATTTAAAAATATATAATATAATATACTGTACAAAATACTATAAGAAATTTAAACATTGATTACATACCTGAACGATAGTATATTATGATTATTATTAAGTTTGCATTATTATTATTATTACAGGGCGGCCAGAATATGGCTATACCACTTTGATTTCAATTTATTTAAATACCGTTTTGTTTACTTTATTCATTTA